CACAATAATTAATTGACAAGTATTAAAAAGTCATGAAAATCTTGAAATTAAACATATAATAAAAACTTAAGTTCCATCATCATTCCTAACAACAAAAATATTTAGCAACTCATAATGTTGAATTTAAATACGCAAAAGTGGAAAGACATCACCAAAAATTGATGGAACGTGAATCCAAATTACATGTTGCCGGCTTTTGCACGTGAAAGAATATAATTCCAGCTTCTGTTGACTTTTTCTCAAGATTGCCGGCCACGCGTGATATAATTCTGCTTCGATTCTTCAATTGATAGTGTGTATATATTATATATATCCAATTCAAATTGTTTTCTTCCCAATTTCAGCCCTTGACTTCTTCCCCGATTGCTTCTGTGTGTGGAACGTGTATATATAAATATATATCTTTAATTTCCAATCAACCACCAAAAAGAAAACGAAATGCTTCTCAATTCAGCCGCCCACTATTTCTCTTCTGCAGTGCACTCTGTATATATATATATATATATATATATATATAAAACCTAAACCACCAATGATTTGGTCCATTCATAAATCCAATTTGAGGCCCAATTAACTTTGTGTTTCTACAAGTCATTTAATTCTTTCGAATTAATGCAATTTGGTCCTTGTAATTTGGATTTTATCATTTTTTTTCTGCTATTTTGCATCTTTTCTCAAATTCTTCAATAAACATAAAGTTTCACCTACAAAATTCAATTTCACATAAATTAGGTAAAATTTAATTCAAAAGACAACAAAATATCATGATTTAGTGCCTCAAATAAGTATAAAAACTACACTTATCACACCCCCAAATTTGACTTTTTGTTTGTCCTCAAACAAAACTAAAACCTAATAAAAACACATAGATGCAATGCTAATTTCCTAATTGGTGGTCAGTCAATCAAGTAAAGCAAAAAGGTTTAGCTAGCTAACTTGGCTTATCTCACACGAATTTTATTTTTGGTAAGTTCACAAAATTCTCTCTCGACTGGAAGTTAGGGTTTTCTGAAGGTGCATGCCGCCTCCACTGAGGCCGCCTCTCATGGCGGCGGGGGTGCCTGCGACATATGCTTCTATGCTCCAGTCTCGACCTCAGACCATCCCGGAGGTAGAAGTAGATATGCGTAAACCGTTGGAGAAGGATGGAGAGAAGTGGTTTCATTTCACAAAGGCTGAATTGGATAGAGCGGCAAGCCCTTTCCGTTTCTCTGTTGTTTTGAAGTTCTTGAGAAGGAGGCTTTCCTTAGATCAGATCCGGTTATTCATCAAGGTTCGTTGGGGACTGAAAGCAGTCTGTACAGTTAGGGCCATGCAAAAACCAAGAAACGTTTTCATCAGACTCACGAATGAGGAAGATTTCTGTACGGTATGTGCTAAGGAATCATCTTGTAGCGACCGAGAACTTTTAAATGATATAAAATTATTTCTCGAAAAAAAAAAAACGTGTCGCTAAACCCTAACCCTAATTTAATGAGATAGCGCGTTCGTCTAGCCGTTGTAAACAAATTTAA